CCGCTTCAAAACAATTGCTTGCTTACTGGTTTAAACTCGGAAGCTTATCCTAGCTGGAAAATGCGTATTTTTGGCTTGAATCTAGCTGGTAAATTTTTTCCATTACTAGCTGTTTTTTCACAATAACATATGAGCAATCTTTTACCTCATTTTCAAACAAGAACCAGAATTTAAGGAGAAATTTAGTAAAACTTAGTGATCACAGATTCTGCGCTGTGACACTCTGGGAAAGAAATCGACCATTTCTAAATCCTGTTCAACTTTTAATGAAATTTTTATCAAAATCAGGGAAATTTTAGGTAGTTTCTTTTCGCCTTTTATCGAAAAATTGAAATGTCACAAGCTGATAAAACAACAGTAAAACAGAAGAAGGCAAGAAGATGTCTGCTTAAGTCTCTACCAAATAAATTGTTTTGTTTTGCGTATAGTATCATTTCTGTAAATATAAATTTTCATAGTATCTCACTTCACAGTAGACAAAAATCCAGCAAACAGTATCTGAGGGAAAACCAAGCCCAAGAATTACAGCCCATTGTACGACCGCGTTAACATCGGATCATTATCAAAGAATCCCCAGATTTTTTTCGGTTAAAAGCTTTCCTTGCTATGGTAAATAACAGGAAGCACAATTAATATGTTTGGCACTGAAGAGGTCTTAAAGCGGAGAAAATTAAATCATTACATGGAAACGAAAGGCCAAACGGATGCAGCATTTCTGATCTAATTAACGCAGTGTTCAAACGTTTTGAAGCACACTGAAATAAGTGAACGTTTCCTACTATACGGTTTTTTCAGTGATTTTAGATCACACTGCTGGGACTGCTTAACCAGTGCTTCGCAGATCATGAAACCGCAAAAATGGAATGAGAAACACAAACACTTCGAAGTCATCTTGAATAACTGAACAGCTTTAAGCCAAAGTGTAACTATATTAAAAATTCATAGGAGTAGACAAAACGTTATCAATTAATTTTCAGTGTAAGTTAAGAAGAAGAAGTTAACGCAAGTCGGATTCAAATCTTACGGTCCAACCAATAATGAAATAGAAAATATCAGAATCAATTCTCGCGTTTTTGTGGTTGGAAAGTGACTTGGGGGAGGCGAAAGGTTTCGCATGCCTTTCTGAGTAAATATCACCAAATGTTAAATCTTAGTTAATATTATAGCTTTTTAGTGATCTCTATACCAAAATATGGGAAGTCACTGTAAAATGAACTCCTCAATAGCCCGCATTTTGTAAATTGACCCAATCTCACTTCACGTATATTCAGTTAGTATAGGTAATCGTATGAATGCGAGTGCAATTTGCCGTTCAAAAAAGTAAAGTCTGCATACGAGCCAAGTGGCCCATCAGGCCGGAGCATATCCCGGTTTCAGTAACATGACGCGACTATTTTTTACTCCCTCCTGGGAAAGCCAAGGACAGAGCTGACTGACTGACGGGGGTAACATTAAGCTATTGATCTATCAGATGTTTTGGACGATCGTGGTCAATTGTTTCATTAGTTATCGGGTCCCTTTCTCTTACAATAACATCGTTTACTCGCTGCTGTTCGATTGGAAGCTTTGCTTTAACATTGCTTCTCCAACTAACCTGTTGTTAATTTTGTCGCCTAGGTTGCCATCAATTGTAATTTTAAAGCAATCAAGTTCCTGCGTGGTTTTGATTGCTTTCCAAAGGGCTTATTTTTTGAAATAATTTGGTGTGTTTCTGGTGAGGATGGAGTTATTCTTGACACTTGTTACCAACTGAAATTTATGGACGTGCTTTCAACTTAGCTCTCTTACGTACCGGCAAGGCCAAACGTTCACAGT